TAATAAGAATGTAATAATAATAACACAACCAATTTAGTTTTAAAAATGGGTAAAAGATTTGAATAGTTTACCAGGGAAGATACACAGATGGACAAAAAGCACATAAAAAGATAAACAATGTCACTAGTCATTAGAAAAGGAAATTTAAAAAACAGTTATTCCTTCATGTCTACTGGAACAGCTAAAATTTCAAAATTAGACACCTGACCATATCATGTGTTGATGAAGATTTGAAGCACCTAGAGCTCTCAGGTTGCTGTGGGAAAGCAAAATGACCCAACTGTTTTGGAAAATAATTTAGTAATTTCTGATAAAGTTAAACATATTTACTGTGTGACCTCTCCTACATAATTTTACCCAGTTCCACTCCTATGTACTGACCCAAGATGTGAAACTTTAGTCCACATAAAAACCTGTATGTAAATATTTATACCAGCTTTATTCATAACAGTAAAAAATTAGAAAAAACCCAAATGTCTGTCACCTGATGAATGGATGGACAAATTGTGGGATATCCATAAAATTGTTTACTACCCAGTAAGAAAAGGATCAAACTACTGGTACATGCAACAACATGGGTGGATTTCAAAAGTATTATGCTTTGTGACAGTGGTTGCCAGGGGCTGGAGGTGGAAGGAGAGGATTGATTGTACAGGGGCACAGGAAGATTTTCATGGTGATGGAAAATTACCTTTATTCCGGTTGTGGGTGTCACTTGACTGTGTACATTTGTCCAAAATCATGCAACTGTGTGCTTAAAAAAGGTGAGTATACTCCATAAACTTGACACATAGGAAAGGATTCTCAGCCTTCCTACTCCTTTTTTTTTTTTTTCAAACAAGCATATTAAAAATGGGACTTTTTTCACCTCTCAGACTGGCCAAGATCAAAGTTCTGCATATTGCTCTAGGATCTGGGGATCAGTCAATGGTACAGCCTCTGAGGGGTAGTTGAGGAATAGCTTTCAAAATTAAAAATGCATGTACTTGGGGTGCCTGGGTGGCTCAGTGGGTTGAGCCTCTGCCTTCGGCTCAGGTCTTGATCTCAGGGGCCTGGGATCGAGCCTCACATCAGGCTTTCTGCTCAGCAGGGAGCCTGCTTCTCCCTCTCTCTCTTTGCCTGCCTGTCTGCCTACTTGTGATCTTTGTCAAAAAAATAAATAAAATCTTTAAAAAAAATGCATGTACTTTTTTATTTCAATTTTACTTTGAGGGAATTTTTTGTTTTCTGTAAGTAAGACATATACATGGAAACAGTAGTTTATATCATTGTTTATCATAACAAAACTCGGGGAATAATCTAATTTCCATTAACGGGAACATTACGATACAGTGAAGTACTTCTGTGAGGTAGATAAATTTGTGTGCTAATGTGGAACACTTTCTCAAGGTATTGTCAAATGAAAATAACAGTGCACAAAATGACATGTATAGTGTACATGTGTTTATGTTTTTAAAAAGTGGTATGTATTTATGTGCTTTTATATGCTTATATTTGCATGTGGTATTAGAGATAGCATACATATACACAGAACTGTTATTTATAGTTGCCTCTAGCACAGGAAAGGTTTACATTTTAATGTTTATCTACTTGTTTTGCTTGAATATTTTTTTGCCAGGTACACATGTTATTTTCTCAGTTAAAGAGAAAAAAATTAATTTACATACAATTATAATGAATTCTTAGGAAATTTAGGAGTACATAGATGGCTGGTCCTGATCATTTCCTCCAGAATGTCTCTTGTGTTTTCATCAGCAACACAGTACTGGACTAGATGGATCTTTCTAGTCCATCTGATTGTTGAGATGTTTCTGAGACTATTCCCCTTGTAACCGCTGCTTCCAGTCTGTCTCCTATTTTTCCAGATTCCTGTGGGAGCAGATTCATGAAGAAATACATTCAGTTTAGTTTACCCACAGGCTGCCTTTCTGTATGTTGGCCTGATCCTCTGGCTTAGGTTCGTTTCACAGTGTAATGCAATGGTCAAGTGACTTGGTGGGGAGAAATGTACTGAGTTCAGAGGATAATTGTAATTATGCCTTTGCATCATGTTTGGATGCCACCAGGGTTTCTCTGAGTGAGAGGGAGCATTGGTAAGGGAGGTGTGGACATTGGCAGCACTTTCTGAAAATGAGGCGGTTTGGGAGGCTGTATTCAATTTAGTTTGGATATTAAATGAATTAAAATGGACGTGCTCAAGTTCTAAACCTTGCCTCGTTGGTGCTATAAAAAGCCCTTTAGCCAAGCTGTAATCTGACTCTCCTCTCTGTAATGTTACACAATATTCCTATGGTTACAGAGCCCGAATAAATGGACGCTAATCATTAGTTTGCTAAATGTGGTCCGTGGAACAGTTCACAACTCCCAGACCTGCCAACTGCTGCTTGTTTAGTGTTGGGCTCACTCTTCTTGGGTGGAAGTTGGTTTGTTCCTCAGAAAAATGTACAGTAACAGTTGTCTTGCATCCAGGAACCATGCACTATGGCAGCTCTCCATGTGTCTCGGGTTGGGGAGGGGAAAAGGTCATGCTAAGCAAAGTTTTTTGGTACATGCTCTTCCGCAGGAAGAAACCATTAAGGGAGTGAAAGATGACAAAGCAAGAAGAGAATTAAAGCGGCAGAGGTTTTGGTCATTTGGAGAATCACCCTTGGGTTGGCTTTTCAGAAATTTGCTGTGATAGAGCTTTATGGAGTTTGCTATTCTGTGACCCTAGAAATAAAATCACACACTTTATGTTGTTTATTGTTTGTTTCATGTGATAAGACAGATTTCAGTAATGCTAGGGTCACCTGCAAACACATAAATGTGCTGTCTTTAAGAACTAAATGCATTGGGAGCTGGGGCCTTTTCTATTTCACCTAATACATATGGGGGGGCACCTGGGTGGCGCAGTAAGTTAAACATCTGACTCTTGGTTTTAGCTCAGGTTGTGATCTCACAACCTGATCAAGCCCCTCGTGGACTTTATGCCCAGGGCAGAGTCTACTTAAGTTTCTTTCTCCTTCTGCCCCTCCCCTAAAATTAATAAATAAATCTTTTTAAAAAAATTAAATGTGGGGACCTGGGTGGCTCAGTGGGTTAAAGCCTCTGTCTTTAGCTCAGGTCATGAGCCCAGGGTCCTGGGATCGAGCCCCGCATTGGGCTCTCTGCTCTGCAGGGAGCCTGCTTCCCGCAACCCCCCCACCCCCACCTACTTGTGATCTCTGTCTGTCAAATAAGTGAATAAAATATTTTTTAAAAATTAAATGTATCAGGGAACATACTGAGAGCAGTGGGTATCAGCTGGATTTGTGCCCTTACCTGGGGATTAGAGCCTAACTCCTTAATCCACTCATGATTATTTGGACTCTTCCTACTAGAATGAAAGTGGGTTCTTTCCTAATAAATAGAAAATATATTGTGCCCACTTGTGACTCATTCTCCCCTTCCAGCTGAAAAGCTGTGTCTCTGCAGGAAGAACCTCTTTTTTCTTTGAGACTGTTGAGAAAGAGTCCAGTGGCTGTTTCTGTTTAACTGCTCTATTATTTAGTTCTCTTCTGATTGTAAAAAAAAAAAGAAAGAAAGAAAGAAAGAAAGAAAGAAAGAAAAAACAGAAAACCTGACCTTACCTAGCTTAAGGAAAAGGGAATTTATAGGCTCATATGATAAGAAAGGAATGGCGAGATATGAGGGCTCAACCCATGTCATCAAGACCAGCTCTCTCTGCTTCTCTCATTTCTGGCTTTGTCTGTCAGACTTCACTCTTGGGCTCTAGGTGGTGGCATCTAGAGCAGTTCGGAGAACCTTCCAGGTACAAACCCAAAAGGAAATAGCAGAGAGTCTCTCCCCTGTCTCCTAGAAAGGTCCTGACATTCCACTGGCTTAGGTCTTGGGTTCTTCCTGAACCAGCCATGGGGCCAAAGAGATGCTGTGCTTTGATTGGTCTGTCTGACTCTCATTTCCCACCCCTGGAAGCCTAGAGCCTTCCCCCAAGCATGTGCAGTAGACATGCAAATCACTAGTCTTGTTGTGTAAGAAAGCTGGATTCTATCTTCACCGTACTGAAAGCCTTCACTTCCAACCATCTTGTCAGTGGTGAGATGGGGCTGTGTGCTGCCCAGGAAGACTAGCTCTAAGAGTGGTCTCTTCCTTTAATACATGTGCATTTTCAATACACACGTTTGTTGACCAGTCCACACAAGAGGAGACGAAAGAAGAAATGATAAGGAGCCAGTGTAATTATGGCGGTCCCCATTGCACTTCTTGGCTTAAGGCAATTTAAAAAAAAAGACATATAAAAGTAATGGAATTGAGTCATAGTTTAGAAAATATAAAAACAACAGTTCTCCCCCTCTAACACAACCACTATATTAATTTTAGAGTACTTCCTTTCAGCCTTTGTTCATACAGTTTTTTCGTAAACTTTCAAATCTTGGTTTGTTTGGCTGTTTTTGCTTGACATTGCATGATAATCCACTCATTTTCCCTACTGTTGCATAGTCAGTATTTTCATATAAATGCAGTATAGTTTTCCATCAGGGAGCCATGTCAAAATAATCATTCGTCCATCATTGGACATTTAAGTTATCTCCTTTTAAAATTTGTTCTGCTGTTACAGAGAATTGGCATGTATTGAATGTTCCTGGGGTATGTAACTTTGGTTTTGCTTTATCTTATTTTCTGAGGCTAGATTGTGAGAAATGGGATTACTGCTTCAAAGGGTATAAACAGTTTTATGTCTCTTGATACATATTGCCAAATTGCTTTTCATAACTGTTGCATTTTATCTCTTCTGCCTCCAGCAGTTTCTGAGAGGATCCATTTCACTACATTTTTGTCAGCAATAGATACTTGGATTTTTAACCATATTCTTAACCGAACCAACAAAAAAAAATAGGTGTTGTTTTGTTTTAATTTGGATTTCTTTGGTTAATAGGGAGGCTGAATGGTTTTATATACCATGCTTGTTTTTTAGCTGTATTTTCTGCTCCTGTTTACACATTGCCTTTTCTTCTTTTTAGACCCCAAAACAGCTTCTGAAACAGAGACCGATATCTGTGCTGAATGGGAGATAAAGACAATCACTAGTGCTTTGAAGACCTACCTAAGGTAGGGACTTTCCATTTGCAGGGCAGGGTGCCAGCTTGCTATCATGCAATCAGGAAGAAAGCAGTTTTATTTCCAGCCTCCAGAAAGCTGTTGAGTGGGTGTTTGGATATAGAAACAGCTTATGTGTGGGTGCAATTAGCTCAGCTGGTCAAACCAATTGTAAGCCATCCATCCTTGATGGGTTGCCATTTGTGGGGATGCCATGAGTGATTCAAGAAGCTTTGCTCTTTATGAGAAGTTACTATGATGATTAGCCTTTAACAGAACCTAAAATATCTAAAATATTGTATTTCCTGAAATCCCCAAATACTCTAGTCAGAAAACAAGGAACCCCGTATCTCAGTCTGATGAAAATGCATAATTACATACATATCCTATGTGTTTTGATGGTTTTGTGCATTGCAATATGATCTATCTACAGATAGATAGACTCCTTAATAGATTGTCCTTATTAATGGAAGTCCTTTTTGACTCCTTCTGCTTATATAGGAAAATGTTATTTTATTGGAGAAGAGACTTTTTATCTCGTAACACTGTGCATGGTATGACTCCTATTTTCTGCCCCTCCCTTGGTTATTTAGGGAGTGGGTGATTCTAGCTGCCCCCATCTCAGTTTTATGAAGTGACTGAAACTTACCCTGAACTTGAAGGGTAGGTGAGGGTCCAGTCTCAACTAAGAGGAGACCGGTGAACTGCATAAGCATTTGTTCAGGTTTTGTGAAGATTCACTTGGCTCAAAAACAAAGGAGGAAAAAGCCCCAGAAAAGAAATTGGTGATGCAGGTTTTATTGGCTATTGGGAAATTGATAGAAGGATCTTGAAGTCAAGAGTAAGATGTAATGCAAGTGATGATCAGGAGTTAAATTGGGGATTCTGATGAGAATAAAATAGAACCTGAGCCAAGAATAATTTATAGTCTGTTGAGAAGGTTGTTATTTGGACTGTCAGAAAAAAGCTGAAGTTTACAGTTAAACACACTCATTAAACATATTGATTAAACATTCATACCACATATACTATCACTGTAGTTTACACAAAGCCAAATCACAGAGGTTTGTCTTTAGCACTTAATTTGTGCATGTTGATCTAATGATTAGCTAACAAACGTTAAGTATAAAACATACTTTAAAAAAACTATATAAAGTTTGATTATGTCATGCATAATGTTAGGGGTTCTAGCCCTTTTGGCATTCTGGAGCAACCCTTGGTAGTGAATTTGCCACAAAATCACAGAAGTCTCTCATAGTGTTTCCAGATGAACTGATTTTTAATTACATGCCGCTGGGAAGACAAGAGTTTAAGCACAGGTAATTACAAATGTTTAGTTAGTTTCCTTTTTCTTAGACACATCTTAAAATGCTCTTGTCAATGGGTGAGTCACTGACTGAAAAGGAAATCTCTTGGCTTGTGCTAGACTTTCACATTAGCACTTTCCTAGTTGTAACTAGGAAACATAGTTGTATCCATTCCCTTAAAAAGAAAGAGCATGAAAATGTCACAGGAAATCTCAGGACCCTTTCAAAAAGAGAAACTCAGTTGGGCTATTGAGTTGCTATTTTGTCCCTTGATCTTAGTCTGTATACAGTTGGGCAGTGTCTATGCTGCTATTTAGGGAGTCTGTTTGTTTTTATTAAACTGACTGGTGTATATCCTTTTATCCCAGAATGCTTCCAGGACCACTCATGATGTACCAGTTTCAAAGAAGTTTCATCAAAGCAGCAAGTAAGCTTTCTTTTTGCCAGTTTTAAGGGGGAAAGGAATACATTTGTCTATATCAAAGAACAGTTAGTATCCCAAAATAAAAACTTTCTACCCTTTGTATTTTGTATGTAAATACCTACACATGTGCTCATGAGACAGACACAAAATAGAAACGAAACCAAACTGGGATTGTCAAGGGCCCTGCTACCACACTGAATTTACAGTAGAGGAGAGAAACTTCAGAATGTGTTTTTGGGGTGGGGAGAGGAGAGGAAAGCAAGTTTGGCTTTCTAATTTTGATTATTGGAGTTCTAACTCCTTGGGTTTTTTCCCAGCCCTTGAGTAGCATTTTGCAGAATGAATCAGACTTCACACATTACCTAAATTGAGCATTGGAATTGTTTCCTTGAATATGACACCATTTATGTAACTTCCCAGTCCCCTTTCCATCATGGATTCCATTTACAGCGTATGATCATTCTTCAGTTATATCATCCAGGTCCCTTGCGTCATATTACTGGTATTAAAATACATAGGGATTAGGTGCAAGCTACCCTAAGTATACGGGAATCTGTCTGCTCAGGACAGGCCTCCTGTAAGAGATAGTAAGATTCTCTATCAGATTTAAATCTGGCATCAATCTCCACAGTGTTACTATGTCAATAGTCTCTGTGGTCTCCCTGCTTCCTTTAAGCCTTCAAAGTTTGTTTGTCGTGGTAACTACTACTGGCCCTATTTAGTAGTACCTAATGTTCTGGTGGCCTTATCTTCTCAGAGTTGTCTCCTTAAAAGAGGGAGGAGAAAGACTTGAGAGAAAGCTGGGAGTAAAGATCGTGTTTATGTGATTTCTTTCTCAGAGAAATTCCAAACCCATAGCAGCCATTCTCTAATTAAACCTCACATCAATCCTATAAATAGGTGTGTGAGCACTGTCAGTTTATCTCCCAGAGAAATGAAGCCACTTACCCAAATTCAACCACGCCATGGCAGGGTTTGATTGAGTGACAGGTTGGCAGGAAGATTTACATGTTTCATCAGCCATTTCTTTCTTCCACTGGGCTGGTTGGGTGTCATACATGACTTGAGAGTGACTGGACATTGCCTTTGATTTGTCAGATGCTGTCTTGAGACATTGTTTTGATATTTGAGACCCTTGTAATGTTGTTCATGTACAATTTGTTCATCATTTGACAAGTGCATAAAGTTCCTTCCTTCCTTGAAATGAAGCCGTCGTTCTAGGAAGCCAGCTGCTCCCAGGTTTCTGTCTGCTCTAAGTGTGCAGTTGACTGGCTCCATTTCTTCCCATCATCATTTTGGTTTGAATTCTTTAAACAGTCATTTTTTAAAATGAATTGTTACAGAAAGCACCATTAAAAACACTTAGACCGGGACGCCTGGGTGGCTCAGTTGGTTAAGCAGCTGCCTTCAGCTCAGGTCATGATCCCAGCGTCCTGGGATCGAGTCCCACATCGGGCTCCTTGTTCTGTGGGGAGCCTGCTTCTCCCTCTGCCTCTGCCTGCCATTCTGTCTTCCTGTGCTTGCTCGCTCTCTCTCTCTCTCTGACAAATAAATAAATAAAATCTTTAAAAAAAAAAAAAAAAAAAACACTTAGACCTAGGGGCACCTGGGTGGCTCAGTGGGTTGGGCCTCTGCCTTCGGCTCGGGTCGTGGTCCCGGGGTCCTGGGATCGAGCCCCGCATTGGGTTCTCTGCTTGGCAGGGAGCCTGCTTCCCCCTCTCTCTCTCTGCCTACTTGTGATCTCTGTCTGTCAAATAAATAAATTGAAAACAACAACAACAAAAACAAAAACAACACTTAGACCTAGCCATGAGTCCATAGAACAGGTTCTTAAACCTTTGAGAAATCCTCAGTCTGTTAGTGCCCAACCTTTGGTTTCCTTTGATTTTGTTTTGTAATCTGATTTGGCTGTGTCACTGATCAAATATTACGTCCTTCCTTCCTTTGCAGAGCTGGAAAACCAGGAGTCTCGGGTCTCTGAAATCCACAGCCTTGTTCATCGGCTCCCAGAGAAAAATAGGCAGATGTTACAGCTGCTCATGAACCACTTGGCAAAGTAGGTTTAAGACGGAATGCTGCCCTCTTCTCACCCTTAGAAAGTTCATGTCTTAGTGCTAAAGCTGGTCTCTGTTCTGCTCAGGTTTCCCCCTCCCACTGTTGCATCAGGAATGCTGAAGGGTTAGGAAAGAAATGTGTGAAATGTTAACTGCAGTGGGTAACAGCAGTAAATGCCACGTGGTCCTTACAGAGGAGGCTGGGGAAGCGCCCAGGATACCAGGCCACCAGGCAGAGAGGTCAGGGGGCTTTTGTTCTTGTGATGTCCTAGGGTAAACAGGAATATGTCATCCATGATAACTAGGTCACAAAGCAGAGTTTTCAGGAGTTATATGTTCTTGTGATGATCAGAGACAAATAGGAACATGTTGTGGGTTTACAGACCTGGGATTTGGAGTAAAGAGGCCTGGGTTCTAGAGTTGACTGTGTTCTTAAGCCACTTAATGAACCCTGGCAAGCAATGGACCCCTCAATTCCTTAGTTTCTTCATCAGTCAGGTATGGATAATAGGCTCCTCTTTATCTACAGTGTTAGTGCTTTTGAATGTTACATGTGTTAAAGCCTAGGGAATAAATCAACTAACTATCTTTCACAGATGCCTACGTGCCCTCTGAGATAAAGCAAGGCATTCAGCATGGGGCCTGACTGTCCTGCTAAGAATATTTACTCTTGGGATGGTTTTGAGTTTTTGTTTATTAACTATTGGTGGACCCTTTTGGAAATGGCCTTCTTGACTTACCTTGCTATATCAGTGACTGCATGTGTGTATGTTCTAACCTTCCATTGACTTGGATGAATGTTCTTGGTTGGAGACTGGAGTATTTAAGAAAGACTACAACAGCTAACTTAAGCCGTTAAGCCACACAGTCTACGGAACTGGTTAGTGTGTTGTGCATTTAGTCCTTACCCACACTTTTCTCATGCCATTAAGTCATTTCTCTGGGATAAGTCGATAGTCAGCTGAGAAAGATTATGATGGTTTGTTTTCCTGTTTCTACTAAGCACATTGATAGCGCCTTATAGAAAGAGAGTATATGTGTTCCCAAAAGATTTCCACAGATTTTAACTATGAAGGAGCAAGAGTGTTTAGCATGTTGGTCAGAAGCAATTAGGCAGAATCAAGGATTTCCCTGTTATTGGTCAAATGTTTTTCTTGCCATGTGGTATCAGGACTGCATGTTCAGAAACAATTAAGCATAGCAGAGAACATGCAAGCTTACAAGGAGAATGCCCAAAAAATGTCAAAGAGTCCTGATGAAGTGCATTTAAAATAATGAGAACTGGGTTTAAAAAGTAACTCCAGATGCTCTCAGATGACATTTTGGTGCCTATTCCACACAACCCAGTCAGGCATTTGTTCAATAGAAAAGCTGGTTTAGATTTTAGTTACAAAACTTTGCACACTTGAAGGGCCTTTACTGAAACAGAGGAAGTTCTGGTTATATACTCTGGCCAAGTATGTGTGGGGATGCTCAGGGCTGCTCTATTAGGGCCACTAGGCTTTGAGCCTCTAGGGAGCAGCTGGAGGAGAAGGCTTCAGAACCAGCTGAGAGCAGTGGGCTTTTCAAGCTGTGGAGTTGTGCTGAGAGCTTAATTGGACTGAGCATGACGGAAAGTAAATGGTGATCCAGCAGACTCACTACTGCATCTGCCCATTTTAAAGTGCCGTGAGGATTGTTAGGAATCTTAAAGGGGGGAAGAAAATGATTTTAAAAAACACCAAAAACTGTTAAGGTAGATCTTAAACACTTGAGCCTATTTTTCTCTTGGGTGATAGTTCACTTTCTCCCTCTTGTCCACCTCTGTGTTCCAAACCCCATTAAATTCAAACCATCTTTGTCCCTGATCTAACAAGAAGTACACCTGGAATATGCAGGTGACATCTATGACCTTGACTTTTGCCTTCTAATGAATTTAAACCAACTTTGTTGCCGGAGTTACTTACAGTATAGCATTTATGGAGCATTGTGTCTTGCCTTTGATTCACAATCACAATGATTTTCTTTGGTTCTATGAGGTTATGTGGCATTTCTTTGTTCATTTAATCCTTAAGGAATGTACATAGAGCTATAGTGTGAGTTGGTCAGAGCCAATATTATAACACACAGACTTAAGTTCTCAGTAGGCTCTGTTCTTGGTCTCAGAAGATAGGGATTAAAAGTATCTTTGTGGAGATGGGTATAAATGTGCGTTGCTTAATCCAGTAAGGAGTATTTATTTAGTTCTGAAAAAAGGCTTTGGCACCCAGAGGAGTTCTAAGATTCCATTTAAATGCTATATTCTCATTTACAGCACTGTCCTATTTTAAAATTGACCAGGAAATGATAGTTAACTTGGGATAAGGGGTTTGTCTGTTTGATTCCAGTTTTCTCAGTTTCAGACTTACTCTCTGATAAGCCTGAACTATTGTTCCTCTGGTCCACTTACTTAATGGTCAACTTCCTTCCTAAGTTTTGGTTTCAGGGCTGGATCTGCTGGAAAACCCGTGTTCACTGCTCTCATTACCTACCGTGTATTCCCTGTGTATCTCTCAGTTGTTTGGTTCAAAGGAAGGATACTTTGTGCTGTGCAATTTTTAAAGTGCTCTTTTGAAACGCTTTCCAAAATTGCTTTCTTTTAACTGTGGAGAGAGTTAAGACATTTTATATTTAATCCCAAGTAGAAATGCACTCAGAGGGGAAAAAAGTCTTAGGGGAAAGGATAAAATCTCAAAGCCTCCAAGCAAATGCTTACCAGGGTGCATCCAAATCACAGAGTTGTTGGGTTTGTTTCAGATCTCAGAGGGAACATAAAAATTACAGGCAACCGTGCACATATTTTTGTTGTTCCAGCTTAAATCCACTATGATAATTAGATGTTTTCTATTTGGATTCTGGAATCTAGTGTGTAATCTGGAGTCACGTCCCTCAAAGTACAGTTCGACTCACCTGGCGTATTTGTTTACAATTGAATTGGGGGACCCCACCCCTGCTCTACTAAATTGGACTCTCCTTGCGAATCTGCATGTCTGGTTTATTTCTCAGGTAATTAAGTAGCAAACGGTCTTTTAAGAATCACTGGCTAAGAGAATGGGCCACATGCAGGGATTTTCTAGAAGAGAGAAATGGTATTGAGTGGAAAGGATTAGGATTTAGGAAGGTAATAGAAATAGCACAAAGAAGCTCAAAGCAATGAATTCAAAAAGGAGATTTCATAATCAAATTACTAGAAAATCCAGTTTTGATTTCCCATATCTTTACAGTTTGACATTACATTAAATTGAGTGTTCAGCAAATGGTTTTCTTTTAAAATCATGCATAAAGCATTTTTAATAGTAAAGGAAATGGTCCCTGGATAGCTGTGGGATCTTGTGGAAATTAATCCACTCTCTGAACCTCAGTTTTCTGAGTTCCCTTCTAATCATGTAATTCTGTGTTTTCATCAGGTAAAAGGAGTGGAGAAGAGAAAAAAATCCCAATATTATAATTGTAGAAAGAAATAAGAGTAGATGAAAAATAAAGACAAATTTCATGGTAGTTTCCTAATACCTACATATTATGATGACTCCAACTATGTTGCATATCCCCACACATACCATTCGTAGTGGCTCATCATTTTATTACACTGTTTATGCTGCACTGGAAGGATTTCAAAGACTCTCCATACATCAGGAGTAGCTATTAAAAACACCTTTCACAGCTAGTTTTCCCAAAATGCTTATTGAGAAATCAGTCGTAGTCTCTTCTCTTTTTTGAAGCAAGTATTCCTTTGTTTCTAGGATGTTGTCAAAGAGGTAGAGCCCTTTTCTTGCTTCCGCAAAGAAGTATTCTATCATTTAGGATGTTCTGGGCTGTAAGAAACAGAAAATCCAATTCAAAATGGCTTAAACAATAAAGGAATCTGTTTCTCATTACACAGAATCAGCCCAAAGGGTTGGTTAATTTCTTGGCTCACGAAGTATTCAGGTTATTTCTATGGTGTTGCTCCCAGCCAGCATCACTGTGCTGGCTAGGTCAGGGTCATAAGATGTTGTGTTGCATCCTTGCACATTTGTGGTTGTCCAGAGGCAAGAAAAATCATTATTTTTTTCTCCGCTTCTCTATTTAAGAGCTATGATGATATTTTTCCCAGAAGTTCTCCAGACTTCCCATCACATATTACTGATTTGAAACACTCTTCAACAAGGGGAATGGGGCCACCATGATTTTTTTATACCAAACAGAACTTCCTTGGGCCACTGGTGGGAAGCCTAGATATCAGTATAAAAGCAGAGCTCTGAGTAGGCAGTGCCTGATGCTTACTGCAAATAGTCTTGATAAAATATGATTCAACAGAGAACATTAAATCTATTGAATGATTTTCATGTGGTGTGCTAATACAATTAAGACAAATGGGACAGATAGACCAGTTTGGGAGAGAAGAAGAATACATCTGCAGTATGGGCACACATACACTAAAATTCTAAGATTTGGGAGGTGGAAGACAGGACAGAGAAATGAGGAGGGCAAAATCAACTTTAGTCTCATTACCACTTGCTGATTCCTATTATTTTCATTACTTCATCATATGATGTTTATTTGGATGATCTGTTACTTGTTGTGGCTTTGCAAAAATGACAAAATTCTGTATATTGCAGAAATCATAAAATGATTTAGAGCAAATGCTTGGCATACAAGTGAGATCTTATCAAAATACGTAAACTCCCAATGAATACTGTTACGCTGAAAAGAAATTAAAAAAAAAAAAATACGTAAACTCCATTGTCACAAGTTATCAAGAGTTGAGCATCTAGTGGCTTGGCTGTTTTCCCCCTTGGAATATGAATACTTCCAGGAATTCCTGCCAGTCCAGAAGAATATATTCATATTTCCTTAATGATCCAGAAGGAGAGTGAATTGGGTTCACGTACAAATGCCTGTGGTTATAAAGAAAGTCATTGCTAGGCCTTAGAACCAAAGAGAACTGTGTGATGGTTAACTAGCATTCTTTGAAGTTCTTAAGAAATGGTCAAAATAAAAGGAA